GCGGGACGTGTCCGAGGTCCTCAGTGGGCAGCGTATTGGAACCTCTGTGGGCGCGCATCAGCCTCTGTGGGCAGTGTCCGACGGCCTCAGTTGGCAGCGTGCTGCGGGCGCGCTTGGAGTTTTTGAAGGCTGTGTCTTTCTTCCCTGCAGGCCGGGCCCCGGCAAGCGGCGGGGCGGCCGCGCACCGTCGGCCTGGCCAGCGGCAGCGCTGATCGGCGGGGCGGCCGCGGACCGTCGACCCGACCCCAAGAGGGACGGACAGGGGACCGACCCCGACGACGACGACGACGACGACGACGACGACGTCGAAGACGACGGCGACGACGGCGACGGCGACGGCGACGACGACGACGAGCGAAAGCGAGAGCGAGAGAGAACGACAGCAGGGCCACGAAGGACACGAAGTAGACCACGAAAGGCGACACGGGGGACACGAAGGGAATGCGTATGGGGCCACGAAGAGCGCGAACGAGCGGGGGCCACGAAGGGCAGATAATGCGGGGCCACAGAAGGCAACGATGGGGCCACAGAAAGCAACGATGGGGCCACTGAGGGTAGCAACTGGACCACGTAAGACAGTGAGGGGGCCACAAACGGCGACAGCGGGGCCACGAAGGGCACGCACATGGGGCCACAACGGGCGCGAACGAGCGGGGGCCACGAAGGGCATACGTATGTTGGGCCGCGGAGGGCAAGGACGGGGCCACTGAGGGCAGCAACGGGGCCACGAAGGGCAGCGAGGGGGCCACGAAGGGCGACAGCGGGGCCACGAAGGGCATGCATATGGGGCCACCACGGTCGCGAACGAGCGGGGGCCACGAAGGGCATACATATATGGGGCCACGAAGGGCAGCGAGGGAGCCACGAAAGGCTGCAATGGGGCCACGAAACAAAGCGAAGGGGCCACGAAGGGCTGCAACGGGGCCACGAAGGGCAGCGAAGAGGTCACGAAGGGCTGCAACGGGGCCACGAAGGGCTGCAACGGGGCCACGAAACAAAGCGAGGGGGCCACGAAGGGCTGCAACGGGGCCACGAAGGGCAACGAGGGGGCCACGAAGGGCTGCAACGGGGCCACGAAGGGCAGCGAGATCCCGATTCCTAAATAAGCTGTGAGGGCGGCCTACGCGTGAGCGCGACTCCTGGGTGCCTGGGTGTCAGGAGCGCGGCACTTGAGTGAATTGCAAGAGATTCCAATGCAAGGGCGCTATTCGTTAGTAAATTGCAAACAAATTTCCAGCGAGAGCGCGACTCCAGAGCGCCGGGAGAGCGATTCGTAAACAAATTGCAAGGAAGTCCCAAGCGAGAGCGCGATTCCTGAATAAACTGCGAGGAAATCTCGGGCGGGAGCGGGGGTCCTGGCTAAATTGTGAGGGAATCTCAGGCGGGAGCCGATGTTGTTGTAACCTGGGGGCCAGGGGCACAGTTTGAGCATCAAGATTTTCCCTGCCAACAAACAGGGTGCGAGCGTCGAGGGGCACACTTCCATTAGGAAAAAACCGTATGCGCCGGAGGGGGGATCAACAATACTTATTCTTCAGAAATGGAAGATAAACAACGACAACCACAACAACAACAACAACAACAACAACCACAACAACAACAAAAACAACAATAATAATAATAACAACAACAACAACAACAACAGCAACAACAACAACAACAACAACAACAACAACAACAACAACAACAATAGCAACAACAACAACCACAACAACCACGACGACGACGACAACGACAACGACAACGACAACGACAACAACAACAACAACAACAACAACAACAATTACTAGCACGTGGGGACACACCGTTCTCACCAGTGCCAGGGTTTTCATAGGAGGCGGGCAATACCCCCACTTTGTGGGGGGGCCGGTTCAAGCTCTACCAAATTTCCAAACGACTCTTCGCCACCACCCACACCCAGCTTCCCGCCCTATGACGTTCGGACACTTCACTTCGTGGCATGCGGACGACCGTGGCTACTATTCAGGGCCCCGCGGCCGACGACGACGGCGTGCGCGCGCGAAGAAAAAACGAATGTGTCCCGCATGGTATTATTTGACAGGGATGATGGCCCTGGCAGGTGCGCAACCGTTGTTGCAGAAGTTCGAAAAAGTTGTTCGCAAAAGCCCGTTTGACAGAAATGATTAAAAAGTGTTGGGTTTCCTACGAATCCGCAAGAGCGCGCGGGATGAAATTTTGACAATTTTTTTTTGAAAAACCATTGGTTTTTTGATGTTTGTATGTTAAAATCGCTACGAAAACTAAGGTTTTGGAAGGATTTCGTCTTGCGCGCGCGAATGTCCACTTTACCTTATTTTTTACAAGGGATTCTTGAAGTTTGGTTATGTTAGAACAAGAAATGTCCACTTTAGCTTATTTTTTGCAAGGGAAAACCGATCGTAACAACACAACCGGATCCGGACCAACCCGTTTTGCCTGAGACTTCCTCACGAAAATGATGAAAATGAAGCTGCGGCCTAGGCGCGGCGGGGGGGTCGCGCACCAGGGGCCCCAACAATAATTATTCTTTAGAAGTAATAATCTTCAACAACAACAACAACAACAACAACAACAACAACAACATTAACAACAATCACTTTAAGACTGTTCACGCTTATGTGCTCGAGTGTCATCCAACGTGTATTTTCCAAACCTTCGATACCCGCCCTCTTCGTCTTCTATCGTACCCCTTTGGGGGGATATTTTTCTTCCCTGCAAGCCGGTCCTTGGCAAGCGGCGCCAGCGGCAGCGCTGATCGGCGGCAACCCGACCCCAAGAGGGACGGACAGGGGACCAACCACATCGATGACGACGACGACGACGAGCGAAAGCGAGAGCTAGAGCGAGAGCGAGAGCGAGAGCGAGAGCGACAGCGGGACCACAAAAGGCAGCGAGGGGGCCACGAAGGGCGACAGCGGGGCCACGAAGGGCATGCGTATGAGGGCACGAAGGGCGCGAACGAGCGGGGGCCACGAAGGGCAGAAAATGCGGGGCCACGGCCACGAAGGGCATGCATATAGGGCCACGACGGGCGCGAACGAGCGGGGGCCACGAAGGACATACATATATGGGGCCACGAACGGCAGCGAGGGGGCCACGAAGGGGTGCAACGGGGCCACGAAGGACAGCGAGGGGGCCACGGAGGGCTGCAACGGGGCCACGAAGGGCAGCGAGGGGGCCACGAAAGGCTGCAACGGGGCCACAAAGGGCAGCGAGGGCGCCCCGAAGGGCTGCAACGGGGCCACGAAGGGCTGTAACGGGGCCACGAAGGGCAACGAGGGGGCCACGAAGGGCTGCAACGGGTCCACGAAGGGCAGCGAGATCCCGATTCTTGAATAAGCTGTGAGGGAGGCCTACGCGTGAGCGCGACTCCTGAGTGCCTGAGTGTCGGGAGCGCGGCGCTTGAATAAATTGCAAGGAGTTACGATGCAAGAGCACGATTCTTCAGTAAATTGCAAACAAATTTCCAGCGAGAGCGCGACTCCAGAGCGCCGACAGAGCGATTCCTGCAAAAGATAAGGAAGTCCCAAGAGAGAGCGCGACTCCTTAGTAAAATGCAAGGAAATCTCAGGCGGGAGCGGGGGTCCTGGCTCAGGCGGGAGCCATTGTTGTTGTTGTTGTTGTTGTTGCTGTTGTTGTTGTTGTTGTTGTTGTTGTTGTTGTTGTTGAACATTATTAATTCTAAAGAATAATTATTGTTGGGACCCCTGGTGCACGGCCCCCCTGCGCCGCCTAGGCCGCAGCTACATTTTCATCATTTTCGTGAGGAAGCCTCAGGTAATTCGATGTGATCAAGATCCGGTTGTTTTGTTCCCCCCCGCTTTCCCTTGCAAAAAACACTATAAAATGACATTTCTTGTTCTAATATAATCAAATTTCAAGAATCCCTTGCAAAAAATAAGGTAAAGTGGACATTCGCGCGCGCAAGACGAAATCCTTCCAAAAGCTTAGTGTTCGGAGCGATTTTAACATAAAAACATCAAAAAACCAATGGTTTTTCAACAAAAAAATGTCAAAATCTCATCCCGCGCGCTCTTGCGGATTCGTAGGAAAACCAACACTTTTTAAACATTTCTGTCAAACGGGCTTTTGCGAGCAACTTTTTCGAACTTCTGCGACAACGGTTGCGCACCTGCCAGGGCCATCATCCCTGTCAAATAATACCATGCGGGACACATTCGTTTTTTCTTCGCGCGCGCACGCCGAAATCTCCAAAAACCATTGGGCTTCTTAAGAATTTTAGCACCGCGCATCATAAAATCACACGAATCGCACCGTAGGTCCTCGAAAAACACCTGCACGACTTTTCAAAATTTCCACCCGCGCGCGCTGTCCGAATCCTGTGGAAGGCTTAACAACTTCTGTGGGTTAACAAGGCTTAACAACTTCTGTGGGTGTACGAACGTAGGCTTAACAACTTCTGTGGGTGTGTACTCCACGCCAGTGTAGTAGCCACGGTCGTCCGCAGGCCACGAAGTGAAGTGTCCGAACGTCATAGGGCGGGAAGCTGGGTGTGGGTGGTGGCGAAGAGTCGTGTGGATATTTGGTAGAGCTTGCACTGCCCCCCCACAAAGTGGGGGTATTGGCTGGCGTCGCATGAAAACCCTGGCACTGGTGAGAACACTGAGCGTTCGGGTAAAGTGATTGTTGTTGTTGTTGTTGTTGTTGTTGTTGTTGTTGTTGTTGTTGTTGTTGTTGTTGTAATCCGGGGGCCAAGGGCGCAACTTGAGCCTAGTGATTTTCCCTGATAAAAACCAGGGTGCGAGCCCCGGGGGAAGCACTTCAATTAAAAAAAAAAAAAAAAAAAAAAATGGTCACCAGAATGGGGGGGGATGAACAATAATGATTCTTCAATTCTTCAATAATGAGAAGTCAGCGAACGTCTGGTTGTTTCACGAAGCGAGCGCGTCTGGGTCTGGCTCTCCTGCCAAGCCGCCCGCCAGTGCCCGACTGGATACCCGGGCTTGCTCGTGCTTGTTGAGCCAGGGCCCCCCGGGCTCCTCGTCCTCGGGCCGCATGCCGGAGCCCTCGCCGGCATCCTCCCCGCTCGTGCCGGAGTCCTTCAGGGACAGGCCGTAGACGGCGCAGAACATCGCCAGGATGGCGCACAGGAGCGCCGCGATCACCCAGAGGCCGAAGTGCCGGGCGCCAGGCTTCGTCGCATCCTCCTCCTCCTCGGAGTCGGAGTCCCCCTCCTCCGCGTCGAAGTGCGAGGAGGACGCGTTGTCCTCGCTGCGAGCCTTCAGCAGCCCCCGCCTGCTGCCGCTCTTGGCCGCCATCGCGCCCAAGGGCGCTCCCTGGACGACCGAAGGTCGCGAGGCCCGAGCCGTCCCAAAAGCTCGCCTCTCCCCCCGCCCGTCCGCTTTCCCCGAGCCCCCTGCGCTCCCCAGAAGAAGAAACCGCGGAGCTATAAACTTTCGGAGGCCCGCCCGAGTCTCGTGGATCGGCGCTGACCTCCAGAAGTCTGCGCTCGTGCAGCTTAATTATTCTTCTTAGACGCCCGTGGTCCTGGGCCACGTGGTGGCCCATCCCCATCTCAGGACCAGCGTTAAGTCGGGCGTGTCCCCCTACAGGGGGATTTGGGACGAAGAATAAAACAGACCATATATATATATATATATAACGTGACACAGAATGCTAAAAAATCGTCCCCTGACTTAAGACCAGCGGGCGCCAGACAAGCACACAACCAAACGGGCCCCCGTCAGCAAACAGAACACATGCCACCGAAAAGCAGTCAGAGTCGGTCAGGAACCGCGAGAAGACGACACATTGATTGCAGATCACGTGCATGGGCGTATGTACGATAGGTTCGCGCGGCGTCGGCGCGCGCGAAGGTTTTTGTCACCGCTTCGACCGTTCAACCTTGAATCGATCGAGGCCCCAATCGTTCAAGGTTGAATTCAGTCGGGCCCAGAGGCGTCACCGTGTCCATCGGTGCCTCCGCGTCGCAGAATTCAACCTTGAGCGCCTTCGCCGGCGTCGCTGGCGCGCCAACGCCGCATGAACCTACCGTACAACAATTGCACTCCAGCATCAGATAGGCTCGTGTAGAAATCTGCTCGCTCATGCCCGACCCCGCCAGGAGGCCCACAGGGTGGGCGACCCGAGAGAGCAGCGGCAGCAGAAGGCAGCGGAGGGAACGGCACCCGGGACCAGGACGAACCTGGAACCGGGGGAGCGAGGGGAGCGAGCGACATGCGACGACACCGAAAAGCAGCTGCCGAGAGAGAGGTCGGCTCCGACCGCCGCTCGCTCCGAGGAGGGCGCTGCCCGATGGCGCCTCTGGCCCCGTGCCCCCCGCGAGGGGCGAGACCAATACCGCGCTCGCACGGGAGTCCCCTGCCGACTGCCACCCAGATCCTGGGCACAAGGTCGGGGTGGACGAAAAGGGAGGGGGGGGACAGCACAACGGGGATCAGCAAATCGGCTCACGTGGCCGATTTTCCCCGCGCCCCCCCCCCCCACGCGCCAGGACGGCACCAGTGTATCGACGAAAGCTCCACCTCCTCCTCCTCCTCCTCCTCCTCCTCCTCCTCCTCCTCCTCCTCCTCCTCCTCCTCCTCCTCCTCCTCCTCCTCTCCTCCTCCTCCTCCTCCTCCTCCTCCTCCTCCTCCTCCTCCTCCTCCTCCTCCTCCTCCTCCTCCTCCTTCCTCCTCCTCCTCCTCCTCCTCCTCCTCCTCTCCTCCTCCTCCTCCTCCTCCTCCCTCCTCCTCCTCCTCCTCCTCCTCCTCCTCCTCTCCTCCTCCTTCCTCCTCCTCTCCTTGCCACTTTCCCTGTCCCTGCCCCCCCCCCCACACACACCCTTCCGCCCGAGCCGGCAGCACGGGCCTGCGCCTCGCCCCCCGCCCCCCTTGGAGGAGGAGGCGGCCAGGGGAGCACACCGCCCCTGCCAGGCGTGGGGCCCGGGGCCACCCAGCGTCAGAGCAGCGACAGCGCACGAGGCAGACCGTGTGATGGACGCGAGTCTCGCCCCCGCCGACACCCACACCGTCATGGGAGCTCTGCTCCTGGGCCCCCCCTACCCGACAATTCCTTGCTCGGAACCGACCCTGACCCCCGACCTCCCTCCACAATTACTCAATATAAATACTACTCTAATACTACTCTCTCTCTCTTCCCCTGATGGCGTGCTGGGAATATTCGACCCCCCCCCACGTACTGTTTTTTACACACAGGATTCCCGGGAGTTGGGTTTTCGCCTGCGTTTTTTCTGCTCCCGAATCGTTCCGGATCGTGCTCCCGCTGCAGCGTGGGCCTCATTTTCGGATCGGTGTTTTGCCTCCGTCGTTCAGGATGGCCTTCTCGCCCCAGCGCGGGCCTCTTTCTCGCGCGCCCATCCGCCCGCCACCACCGCGCCGCACCACGCCCCGCCCCGCCGCACGCACACCCACCGCCACTTCCACCCACCAACGCACGCACGCACGCACGCGCACCACCACCACCGCGCACCGCCACCACCACCGCACTACCCCACCCACCACCACCACGCTACACCGCGTCACACCACATCACACGCGCGCACACACAGACACACACGCACGCACGCACGCACGCACGCACGCACGCACGCACGCACGCACGCACGCACGCACGCACGCACACACACACACACACACACACACACACACACACACACACACACACACACACACACACGCACACACACACACACACACACACACACACACACACACGCACACACACACACACACACACACACACACACACACACACACACACACACACACACACACACACGCACACACACACACACACACACACACACACACACACCACCACCACCGCCATCACGCACGTACGCACCTGGCCCACCACCAAACCACCAAGACGCCACACCACGTCACACCACAGCACACGCGCACACACACACACACACCACGCACACACGCACGCACGCACGCGCACCACCGCCCACTACGCACACGCGCGCGGAGCCACAGGTCCGCTACGACACGCGTCCGCGGATAGAGAAAATCAGCGCCATGGTAAGGGATGGGAGGGAGGGGTAGGATGTCAGATGTTGACGCGAGCGCACCTAGCTTGCCTCCCTCCCCTCCCCCCCCTCCCCTCCCTCCCCCCCCTCCCCCCCCCCTCCCCTCCTCCCCCTCGCCTTCCCCTCGCCCCGGAGGAGGAGGCGGCTGGGAGAGGACACCACCCCTGCCGGGCGTGGGGCCCGAGGCCACCCAGCGTCAGAGCAGCACCGGCGCACGGGACACCGCTCGTCGTGGGCGTGGGGTCGAGCCAAGCGCCGACGCCCTTGCACAGCACCGCGCGGCGACGAGGGGGGGGGGCCGCACGAGGGCCCGAGGAGCGAGCGAGGCGAGGGCTCGGGCCAGGGAAGCGCACCGCTGCCGAGGGGCTCGCGAGACAGCGTCGACGGGCATCGATCGCCGAAGGTAGCCTCGCGCAGAGGAGGCGTGGCGGGGGGAGAATCGGGCCTGGACGAAAGGGAGGCAGGAGGGAGGTGGGGGAGGGCGAATCAACTGACGTAGCTGATTCTCTCTCAGGGCACCATGAAACCAGGACGCTGCTGACCAGGAGTTAGAGCTCCTCCTCGATGAAAAATCTTTGAGAGTATTTCGGCACTCGGCCCTTCCGTCGGCCGACACTCGGCGCGTCAGCGCGGGGCGCGCGGAGGGGGCGCGGACGCGGCGCGCCCTCGCGCGGCCACCGTGCGCCCCCACGGGGCACCCTCGAGCCAAAATGGCTGCGCGGAGCGCTGCCAGGACGAGTGGCGGCTCTCTCCGCCGTGATCGTTCCCCCTCGGGCGCGCTTGGCAACCCCTGACACCATGGGGCCGCAGTCTGTTCGCAGCGGGCGAGGTTGCCCAGCTTCGGGGCCCGAAATTCAGGCCGTGGCAACCAGCACAGGTGGACGCGGCTCGAGGCACGCCGCAGGAAGATTGGGTCTCGGGGCTCAGGTCGTGCTGTTTGGCGCTGCTGCAACTTGTCTCACCGTCGGAACTCCGGGAACAGCCCCACAGCCCCCATTGGCACGAGCCTCCGCACGCTTGCATTGGCTTGCCAGCGCCTGCTCTTCCTCCAGTTTCCGTCGTGCCCAGCCTTGCCTTGTCCAGGCTTGGCTCACGTCAGAGCCTGCCTTGGTCTAGCTCGTATCAGCCCGACTCGCATGTGCTCGCCTGTGACCGGCTGTGCTCACAAACCCTGGGACTGCCTGTTTTAACTCGGCCTAGTGCTGGCCAGGATCCCCGCAGCTTGCCCCGAGCTCGCTGATCCCAGCCTGTCGCAATCCAGCCTGCGTGAACGTGCCTTCACACCTGCTCACGAGCACGTTTCAGCCGGCGGCTTCGGAGCGGACCCGTCGCGGTCAAGCTTGCACTGGGATGCAGTGGAAACGACCTTGGGCACAAGGGGGGCGAAAGAGCGCAAGGCGGGAAGGAGAGCGCAGGCGGGGGGGCCCGGGGGGCGGGGGAGCCACGCTCAGTACATGAAGCCCCTGTGCGCGAGTGCCAGCGGCGTGCCTTGCTCGCGATCCAACGGGGCACCTCGCAGAGTCGCTGACGCAAAATGATGCCTGAGGCCTCCTCTTGGGCGTGGCCGGGCCACCGCGGTGCGATGAGTGGCTCCCAGCGCTTTCCTGGTTACAGCCGGGCCGCTGAAAGAAGAAACGCTAAACAAGGAACGAAGCCCCTTTTGGGCCCCACGGGCGCCTTCGTAGACGAGGAGGGCTAGAGGAACAGCCATGGAAGGGCCTAAAGAACATCGCGCCCTTCCGAACCGAAACTGTTTCTTCTTCGGCCGTCTCGACTCTCAGGCCTGGAGGTTGACACCAACACAAAGATCGGCGGTGTGCCTCCATCGAGGGCAGAAGATCCCGATCTCGGTGATGGTCGCAATATCCTGGCTTCCAAGGTGATCGAAACATTACCACCGGCACCGAATCTAGGATCATCTTCCCTCTGTGGAGGCAACCCCCTGTGCTGGTGTTGGTGCCTACTTCCAGGCTTCCGACTCTCGACGGTGGACAAACCTCCCTTTAGTAAACCACCCTTTCGTGAAAACGGCCCAGGGCCGAAACCGACGGACCTGGACCCGCAAAAACGACGGCCGCGCGACCCTCTCGCGAACCGAAAACGGCCAGTTCGCTAATCCGCGTGTCAGGGTAGGAGGTCTATCCACCTCCAAATGCTTTCTAAGCTCGGGCATGTGACGCCCAGGGAAGGCTGAGATCGAGCGTGCCGGAGGAGGAGGAGGAGGAGGAGGAGGAGGAGGAGGAGGAGGAGGAGGAGGAGGGA